CGGAGGTCACCTTAAGCATGTTACTCAAAGTGTCTGAGCATGGGTCCTCATCTGTATCTCTGAGCATAGGTTTGAGGTGGGAGGTAAATGAGATCATCCATTCAGAGTTCTTAGTATACTCACTACCTCGATAAATATCATCATTTCAGCGGCTGAAGGCCATTGTCAGGTATAAAAAAGGAGAAACAATACTTCTATACTAATCCCAAACAAGAAGGCTATGGGCCAGGGCTTCAGTGATTCATGATGTCCAAGCCTTCTTGCTCCTGCTCTCTCTCATGCCAAGTCTATGCCAGACCTGGTCGCACTTGGCAACCTCAGCAGCCTCCAACTTGTTTGAATTCTCACAGAGAATCCCAATGGGTACTCCGACCTGCTGGCGCAGAGACAAATTCAAACACACTGGAGTGGCAGTGAAATGTATAAGAAATAGTCACAAGGAACGTTCAAGCTCTCAGAATGCCTGCAGAGCTGGGGTTTACACAGAGGGCCCCACTTTTCCAGACAGGCAGGGGAGCAAGCTTACAAATTATTTCCTCTCATGCATACTTTCATGATAGCATCATAACATGCACAATAAACACCTTTGGCTCCCCACTGAACAGGTACAGACACGACGGCTTTTCTGTTTTAAAGCTCCCGAATGCCAAAGCCTTCTCTGCTGCTCTGATGCCCCAACTTTCGCTGCCTGGGAATTGGATCTGGGGTAATGAGTGACCCAGCAGGCAGAGATGACAGATTCCTGCCTAATGTAGCAATGCCGGGACAACCTGGAGTATCTGGCGTGGTGGGCAGGCACAGGCAGGATGGGAGAGGTAGCCGTGAGTACACCAACCTTTGTCCCTGTTTGCTCTGGGAGACGGCAGGCCCTGCCAATGCTGCTCTCCTCTCGTGGTGCCTCTGCCTGGGGCTCTTGGCTAGTCAAACCTCCCTGGGAACCTGAGGCGACCTGACCTTGGTGGGTGGCAAGCCGAGACCTCTTCAGGCAGTCAAAGGGTGCTCTGGCACCTCTGACATGACACAGCAGGTGTGGGGTTTGTAGGCCTTGCCTGCTCCTGCCCCCTGAGGAAGCCTCTTTCCTTCTGGCTCCTTCCCAGTGGAAAGCTTATCATTAACTAGCCACTCAGAAAACGATGACCTACCCTGGGGCACTCCTTGGTTCAAACCACTTACAGGGTCTGAGGAAAACAGAAGGACGGTGCAGAGCCTGAGCTGGGCAGTGTTGCATGCCTTCCTCTTGCCAGCCTTTGTCCTCTGGGGCAGGGGAGCACTCCTTTTTTAGCCTTGCTCACTGCCATATAAGTGGGTGTCTTGAGGAACCTGTGTGTTCTTTCTTCTGGCAAGGCTGCCCAGTTCTCTGGTTCCCCAGGTTAGGTACAAACAGGGTGACAGAGATACACGTCTGGTGGGGAGGTGGGGACACTCTGGCTCTTGTGTGAGAAATCCTCCTGCTTGCTCTCTCTCTTTCTCTCTCTTTTTTTTTTTTTCCTGGATGACACTGCTGGGGCTTGAAGCAGGCTGATCCTGAAAACCTACTTTTCTTGAGAAAAGTCTGAGGGTTTTCTCTTTTCCTAGGAAGCTAGGCCCTGGTCCCCTGGCCCCTTCACCTTATGGAGGGCACCCCCTCTGCCAGGTCCCTCCCAGCTGGCAGGAGCGCTTACGAAGGTCAGAGAAAAGCATCCTTTCCTTTCACAAATAAACAAACCCAATCCATGTGCTAGAGGACTTAGGGTATATTAATAGCCAGATATTTTGTTTTCCTATTCTGGTGCTTATCCCCTTCCACTAGGATGAAAGATAAGAGAACACAAAATGTTCTCCATCAGCCACCCTTCTCCCCTCCCCCAGGGAGAGGCAAGCCGGGGGCGTGCGCTCTTCTGTTTAAAACCATTCCTGATGGAGAAACCCTGAGAAAATAGACTTAAAAGTTTATATTCAGTCTCTCTTGGCTACTGTTGCTGCTCAGCAAAGAAACTCTATATTGTTTAAACCCTCCAGGCGAACGAGTTGCAAGGCAACCTTCAAACAATAGAAAATACCCCAAACTAAAAATAAAGGCATTAAGAGATGGAACGCATGGTGTCACTTTGGTGAAGTGATTCCAGAATTGGGGCAAGGGAGAAGGTTGTCGATCAGGCTGTTTGTGTGTGACGTCAGCCAGTTTGCCTGCTCTCACCCTTATCAATTGAGTTTCTTATAATCCAGACGTATGGGGTCCTGCTTCTTTTTATTTCTGGACTCTCTATCCTCTCACTGGTCATCAACTGCTTTGTGGGGGAGGGTGTCAAAGGCCTGTAAGGTTGGGTGCCTCCTGTCCTCAGGAAACTTCCTAATCAATGCACTTATCCCACTGGCTCCCAGCTGACAAGGAATGGCACTCCCATTCCTGAGAAATCCTTAGAAACCCAAGAACAGACAGGGCTGGGGCCCAACTTAATATAAGGTTCCTACAGGAAGAAAGCAGGAGGGTCAGAGTTGGGGAGGACACGAGATGATGGAAACAGGCTGGAGCCTGTTTTGAAGACGAGGAAGAGGCCATAAGCCAAGGAATATGGGCAGCCCCTAGAAGCTGGGAAAGAAAAGGAAATGGCTCCTCCTCTAGAGCCTCCAGAAGGAACACGGCCAAGCCAGCACCTTGATTTTAGCCTTGTGAGACCCACTTTGCACTTCTGGCCTCCAGAAATGGAAGATCATGCATTCATGTTGTTTTAAGCCACTGGATTTGTGGTGATTTGTTACAACAGGAGATTAATACAATCATGAAAAGGAGAACCCGAGGAACTTTCATAAGGACAAGGAGTTGACAGTGAGTTCCTGGGCACTGCAGGCAGGTGACTGGGAAGCCTGGTGATGCCCTGGCCCTGGCCCTCAGTGACTGCTGCTCTCTGGCTATGTGCTCTTTGCTGCAGATAGAGACCAGTAGGGGGCACTGAGCCAGCGGGGCAGCCTTTAAACAATCAAACACACATCAATACAAAGGCTGGGGCTTTGCCCACGGAGAGGGCAGGCTGATGGGTGCATTATCCAAAAGGCAGTGGGGACGTTGTTTTCACCCATGACCCTTGGCCCACCCCAATCAGTGTCACTCAAAGAGAGATTAGACTGGAAACGGAAACTGGAGGAAAGAAAAATACATCACCTCCACCTCCTACTCCAGGTTGCTGGCCAGAAATTACTGAAGATTCCCTTGGACTTCTCTGGAAGGAGACATGTAAGAGACTACAAGGCAGGTTGTGAGCAAGTTTGACTTCTCTCTGTTTATTCTCTGATTAAATGTCTTCTAAGGACATTTTCTTCTCTGGTATAACAGAGCCTAGGAAATCCTACCTAAAAAAAAAAAAGCAGAAGACCAATAATTTACTCTGTTCTCATCACATTTCTAGGAGACAAGAACCATCAGTCCCATTTTATAACTTGGGACTCTGAATTACAGAGAGGGCAAGCAACATGGACATGGCCACACAGCCAACCAGAGCGTTTCACTCAAAGCAAAATGCAGCTCTCCTGGCACCTGCACTGGTACTGCCTTCTGTGTGCGCACGCTTAGTCTCAGGCTCTGGCTAACCCGGTCAGTAGGGCGTGGCCTCTGGGTAGGTGGTCCCAGTGGAATGCAGAGATAGAAAATCATTAAACCTGTCATCACAGGGCAAGCCACTGACGCCTCAGTGAGAAGATTTTCCAGACCAGAGCTCTGAATTGCTCTGGGGTGTATGTGTGTGTCAGTTTGGAAGGTAATCAGGGGAGGAGGGAAGGTCCTAAATAACAGCCAAGTCAAGGTATTAGCACTCTACTTTACATAAATAAACCCACAAAGAGCTCTCATTATTTTCTAGCATCAATCCAAATCTTTTTCTAGCTTTTTTCTCATTCATCTGCCCTGTTTCTCCCTCCCTTTATCATTCTTCTGAGAGTACCTGGAATCTACCTTTAGGAGCAAAGCTAAAAGATTCTCCAAACTCACTGCCAGGGGATTGAAGTGGCTTATGCCAAGCAGCTGCTGAACCTTCAGGACCAGCTCTGCCAGAGCCCATGGCTCGGCATGAACGCCAGCAGCTCCGCACACTGCGGGCCATCTCCACTGCCCTTTCACTCAGAGAGGCTTCTGCAGTCACCCTCATTTCTTTCTTTCTTTCCTTTTTTTGAGACAGAGTTTCGCTCCGTTGCCCAGGCCAGAGTGCAGAGGCATGATCACGGTTCACTGCAACCTCTGCCTCCTGGGTTCTAGCGATTCTCGTGCCTCAGCCTCCCAAGTAGCTGGGACTACAGGAGTGTGCCACCATACCTGGTTAATTGTTTTTTCTTTTTTTTTTTGAGACGGAGTCTCATTCTTGTTGCCCAGGCTGGAGTGCAATGACGTGATCTCAGCTCACTGTAACCTCCGCCTCCCCGGTTCTAGTGATTCTCCTGCCTCAGCCTCCCAAGCAGCTGGGATTACAGGTGCCCACCACCACATCCAGCTAATTTCTGTATTTTTAGTAGAGACGGGGTTTCACCATGTTAGCTAGGCTGGTCTCAAACTCCTGACCTCAGGTGATCCACTCACCTTGGCCTCCCAAAGTGCTGGGATTATAGGCATGAGCTACCACACCCGGCAATTTTGTATTTTTAGTACAGATGGGTTTCTTTTTTTTTTTTTGAGACGGAGTCTCACTCTGTTGCCGAGGCTGGAGTGCAGTGGTGTGATCTTGACTCACCACAACCTCTGCCTCCTGGTTTCAAGTGATTCTCCTGCCTCAGCCTCCTAAGTAGCTGGGATTACAGGTGTGCACCACCGCACCTGGCTAATTTTTGAATTTTTAGTAGAGACAGAGTTTTGCCATGTTGGCCAGGCTGGTTTCGAACTCCTGATCTCAGGTGATCCACCCACCTCGGCCTCCCAAAGTGCTGGGATTATAGGCGTGAGCCACTGCGCCTGGCCAGATGGGGTTTCACCATGTTGGCCAGGCTGGTCTTTAACTCCTGACCTCAAGTGATCCACCCTCCTCGGCCTCCCACAGTGCTGGGATTAGAGGTGTGAGCCACCACGTCTAGCCAACCCTCATTTCTTGCCACCCAAATTTTGTGACTCTCAAAGACTATGAAAGGATGCCTCTGTTTTCCTTAAGGTATAAAGAGAGTGAAATGGAATGATTTGGTTTCAAATGATATTGTTAGGTCTTAAGTATTTAAAAAGTGTAACAAGCTTGGGCAACATAGTGGGGACCCATCTCTACAAAAAAATAAAAAATGAGCTGGGCATTGTGGTGTGTGCCTGTAGTCCCAGCTACTCAGGAGGCTGTGGTGGTAGGATCACTTGAACCCAGGAGTTTGAGGCTGCAGAGAGCCATGATCATGCCACTGCATTCCAGCCTGGGTGACAGAGCGAGACCCTGTCTCAAAAAAGAAAAGTGTGTAGCTGAGGCAACTGTGAGCTTTCAACTGCTGGGGACCTTCTGCCCATCCTACATGATAACTGCTGCTCTTGCATCACCACAGCCAGTGCACCTCCCCAACCATGGGCAACCGGAGAAAACTGCACAACACTCAACTGTCCTCTAATTAAACTAAAGAATGAGTATCAACAAATGGGGAAATGGTCTGCAAGATACTGACACAAGGAGACCTCATGCCCAAGAATTTGGCAGTACTTACGTAGCATTACACAGACAAGAACAGAGACACAGTCTCCTGGCCAGTTAGCCGGTCACACAGAACTGTACTTACACAGGTAGAAGTCAAGATACTCCTAGAGTCTGCAGCTGCTTTCTAGGCTCCTATAAGAGCTCCTGATTAGCATCTGGGTGTCCTGGATCCCTTTATAACAGAAAAAGAGGTAGTTTGGGGGCCAGAGAAATATTCTAGGTCCCAGGATTCAGTTTCCAGATCTTTGAAATTTTTTTAATTGTAAAAATATGCGTAATAGGCCAGGCGTGGTGTCTCACGCCTGTAATCCCAGCATTTTGGGAGACTGAGGCAGACAGATCACCTGAGGTTGGGAGTTCGAGACCAGCCTGACCAACATGGAGACACCCTGTCTCTACTAAAAATACAAAACTAGCCGGGAGTGGTGGCGCATGCCTGTAATCCCAGTCACTCAGGAGGCTGAGGCAGGAGAATCATTTGAACCTGGGAGGTGGAGGTTGCAGTGAGCCAAGATCACGCCATTGCATTCCAGCCTGGGCAACAAAAGTGAAACTCCGTCTCAAAAAAAAAAAAAAAAAAAAAAGCATAATATAAAATTGCCATTTAAAATGTTTAAGTCCAGTGGCATTAAGTACATTCACACTGTTGTGCAACTATAACCACCATCCTAGATAGTACAAAACTTTTTTTTTTTTTGAGATGGAGTCTCACTGTGTTGCCCAAGTTGGAGTGCAGTGGTGTGATCTCAGCTCACTGCAACCTCCACCTCCTAGGTTCAAGTGGTTCTCCTGCCTCAGCCTCCCGAGCAGTTGGGATTATAGACACCCGCCACCACTCCTGGCTAATTTTTTGTATTTTTAGTAGAGACAGGGTTTCACCACGTTGGCCAGGCTGGTCTCAAACTCCTGGCCTCAAGTAATCCACTCACCTCGGCCTCCCAAAATGCTGGGATTACAGGCGAGAGCCAGCGTACCCGGCCCTACATAGTATAAAACTTTTTTAGTGTGTGTGTGAGACATGGCCTCTTTCTGTCACCCAGGCTGGAGTGCAGTGGCACCATCATGGCTCACTGACCTCCCAGGCTCAAGTGATCCTCCCACCATAGCTTCCCAAGTAGCTGGGATTACAGGGGTGTGCCACCATGCCTAGTTATTTTTTTAAATTGTTGTTTTCTGTAGAGACAAGATCTCACCATATTGCCAGGGCTGGTCTCGAACTCCTGGGCTCAAGCCATCCTCCCACCTCAGCCTCCCAAAGTGCTGGGATTACAGGAGTGAGCCACCACACCCAGCCAGTGCAAAACTTCTATTAACTAGATTCTGTGAAGACCACAGCAAGGTGATTTCCTTGAAAAGGCTCTGCCTGAATGTCTTTCATGGTATCTCAAACTATGATATCCATAAGAAAGGTACCAAAAAACCCTTTTGGCCTCAAAAAGAATAGTAACAAACCCACTCGTGTGCCAACTCCCCATTCCACTTTCTTTTCAGGCTCCACTGTCCCCACCACTTAGCAGTGACTTCAGAGCCGACCTAAATCTGAAGAGGAGCTTCATCAGCTCCTTTTAGTATCCAAATCTGCCCCCACCCTTGCTCATCCCTTTTAGTTTCTCTGGGTAATTGCATGTTTTCATACATAAATGAAAAGCAACGATTGCAAGGCTGAGGGGTAAAGGTGGTATGGGCAGGTTCCATAACAGAGACGTTTCCAGAGAATGACAAAATGGGGGAAGACGCCCTGATCTGGAAGAAATGTGAAGCTGTAAGAAAATAGCTTGAGAAAGGACTGTTGGGGGAAACTCAAGAGAGCATAGAGGGATGGAGGTATGAGTGGAAAGGGGTGGTGAGACCTATACATTGATTCCAAAATCTTTATTTATCTTTATCTATAGCCCTGACCTCTCTCTGGAATGCCAGACTCATAAATGTAGCTCCTACCTGACAATTCCTCTTGGATGTCCAATTGGTACTTAACACGGACAAAGCAGAACTCTTCATTTGACCTGCCCTACCTAAGTCTTCTTCTCCCTTAATCTTTCCTAACTCAATTCATGACAAAATCTGAAAGTAACCGCTAATAGCCCTTTCTGTGACTCCTCCCAACCCTGCAGAAAGTCTTACTGACTCTATTTCCACAAAAAATGCCGTGTAGCTGTCCACTTTTCTCTATTTCTACTTCAATTGTCCCAGTCTAAGCCATCATCATCTAACATCTCTCTACAATGACCTCCTCAACTGACCTGCCTACTTCCATTCTACAACCCCTACACCATCCATTTTCTACTCAAAGTTAGTGATCTTTTAAAATTCAGATCAGCTCATGTCACCTTTCTTGCTTAATAGCTTTCAAGGTCTTCTCATACTTTCAGAATAAAATACAGGCCGGGCACGGTGGCTCACGCCTGTAATTCCAGCACTTTGGGAGGCCCAGGCAGGTGGATCACATGAGGTCAGGAGTTCAAGACCAGCCTGGCCAACATGGTGAAACTCTGTCTCTACTAAAAATACAAAAACTAGCTGGCGTGGTGGTACATGCCTGTAATCCTAGCCATGCGGGAGGCTGAGGCAGGAGAATCACTTGAACCTGGGAGGCAGAGGTTGCCGTGAGCTGAGATCACACCACTGCACTCTAGCAGGTGACAGAGTGAGACTTCGTCTCAAAAAAAACAAAAACAAAAACAAAAACAAACAAAAAATGCAATTTCCTTACCCTAGCTACAAAGCCCTCCATAAGCTGGACTCCGTACATTTTTCCTACCTCACTTTTTTGTTTTGTTTTGTTTTTTGGGATGGAGTTTCGCTCTTGTTCCCTAGGCTGGAGTGCAATGGCACGATCTCAGCTCACTGCAACCTCCATCTCCTGGGTTCCAGTGATTCTCCTGCCCCAGCCTCTCAAGTAGCTGGGATTACAGGTGCCCACCAGCATGCCCAGCTAGTTTTTTGTATTTTTAGTAGAGATGGGGCTTTACCATGTTGGCCAGGCTGATCTCAAATTCCTGACATCAGGTGATCCACCTGCCTCGGCCTCCGAAAGTGCTAGGATTACAGGCATGAACCACCGAGTCCAGCTTCCTACCTCACTTTATATCATTTTTCCCTGATTCTGCCATGGCCACACTGGCCATCCTGCTGGTTCTCAAACACAAAGAACTTCTTCCTACCTTGTTGACTCTGTATGAGTTAATATCATGTTATGTCTGGAATGCTTCTCTCACATGTCTGTCTATGGATGGCTCCTTCTTATCATATCTCAGCTTAAATGACACATCTTCAGAAAAACTTGCCCTATGCATCTCATCTAAAGTGGGCAAGACACTAATTTACTACTATGTGATATCTTCTGGCTCATTTAATTTTTTGTGTCTTACCTCATAGAATATAAACTCCATAAGAGAAGGACTTTGTCTTTTCTATAAGGGATTCCCAGTGCCTAAAATAGCGTCTGGCATAGAACAGGTGTTCCATAAAGTAAGCTGGATGAATAGGTTAAAAAAAATGATCATTCTATGCAATAAATGATCAAAAGGAACAAAGCAAAGATCAAAAGTAAGGTAGGAAACCAGACAAAGACATAAGAAAACTACAGACCAATGTATCTTATACATATTGAAGCAAAACACTCTCAAGAAAATGTTAGCAAACTGAGGCCCCGCCTGGGGGCTCACACCTGTAGTCTCAGCACTTTGGGAGGCCAAGGTGGGTGGATCACTTGAGGTCAGGAGTTAAGAGACCAGCCTGGGCAACATGGCAAAACCCCATCTTGTCCTAAAAATACAAAAATTAGCCGGGCATGGTGGTGTGCATCTGTAATCCCAGCTACCTAGGAGGCTGAGGAAGGAGATCGCTTGAATCCGGGAGGTGGAGGTTGTGGTAAGCCAAGATTGCGCCACTGTACTCCAGCTTGGGTGACAGAGTGAGACTCCATCTCAAACAAAACAAAACAAAACAAAACAAAACAAAACAAAAAACAAAAAACAAAAAAAACCTAGCAAACTGAACCCAGCACATATAAAAGCGATAATACACCATAACCAAGTGGGATTTATCCTAGGAATGAAAGGTTGGTTTAACACTTGAAAGCCAATTAATATATACAACATAATAATAGAATAAAAGGCGAGACCCATCTGTGATCTTCTCAATAGACGCAGAAAAACACTGAACCAAACCCCTTTTATGGTAAAGACACTCAGCAAACTAGGAATAGAAGGGAACTTCCTCAATCTGATAAAAGGCATCCGCTTAAAACCCACAGCTAAAATAATACTTAATGGTGAAAGACTGAATACTGTCTCCTCAAGATCAGGAACAAGACAAGGATGTCCACTCTCATCACTTCTACTCAACATTGTACTGGAAGTTCTAGCTAAAGCAATTAGGCAAGAAAAAGAAATGGCATCTAGATTGGAAAGGAAAAAGTAAAACTCTCTCTATTTGCAGATGGTGTAATCTTGTATATAGAAATAGTATTGTATGGCCAGGCATGGTGGCTCACGCCTGTAATCCCAGCACTTTGGGAGGCTGAGGCGGGTGGATCACGAGGCCAGGAGATACAGATAATCCTGACTAACATGGTGAAACCCCGTCTCTACTAAAAATACAAAAAATTAGCCGGGTATGGTGGCAGGCGCCTGTAGTCCCAGCTACTCAGGAGGCTGAAGCAGGAGAATGGCATGAACCTGGGAGGCGGAGCTGGCAGTGAGCCAAGATCGTGTCACTGCCCTCCAGCCTGGGTGACAGAGGCCGAGACCTTACTCTCGAAAAAAAAGAAAAAAAAGACAAGAATAGTCATTGGTATATAGAATAAGTATTTTCTGCCGGGCGCGGTGGCTCAAGGCCTGCTAATCCCAAGCGACTTTGGCGAGGCCCCGAGACGGGCGCGATCACGAGCGTCAGCGAGCGAGACATTCCTGGCTAACTGGTGAACCCCGTCTCTATTAAGAAATTACAAAAGAACTACCGGGGCGAGGTGGCGCGCGCCTTAGTCCAGCCTACGTCGGCAGACGCTGAGCGGAGAATGGCGTGAACCGGGAGGGCCGAGTTGCAGTGAGCTGAGATCCGGCACTGCACCAGCTGTGGGCGAACGAGAGCGAGACTCCGTCTCCAAAAAAAAAAAAAAAAAAAAAAAAGAAATAGCCTCCTTCTTACTTATTTAAAAAGAACTGTTAGAAT